AATTCTATTAACTCAAACATATAGTTTTGGGGAAAATATTTATATAAGTCATAATTCAGAAGCACTTTAACTTTGTTGCTGCTGAAAGTATCATTTTAATATTCTCCCCTATTCTTTAGTGTGAAGCTTATCAACATCCCTTGATAATTTTCAGATGAAAACTGAAGCCTTATAAATCCAAATCCTAAACTCTCTTTCACATCCTGTTTTTTTTATGGAAAACAAAGCCTTCATTTTTTTAACTTGTTTTCTTTAAAATTCAGACTCCCAGATCCCCACAGTATTTTGTTTTTTCTCTTATTTGTAGGATTCCTCCCCAGCAACAGTATGCCCTTTCTCTTAAACACTGTTCCACTCCCCCATCCCTGCCCAGGGCTTTCATGTTTCCTTTCTTTCCTGGTCTTATGCTCATAAGGCCGATGCTCATTTATATCAACAAACCCAGATTACCTTCTAAATGCAAAAAATATGTATATCTCTTATGGCTAAAAGCCCTACTTGTCTTACAAGTACTTCAAATGTCCAAGACTGAATGTATTGCCTTTTCTGCCAGGACTGCTCTTTCTACATATCCCAGAACAGACCGACCGTCATCCACCCAAACTCTGAAACCACAAGGCTCTGTGTCTTCCTCAGTTTCTCCCTTGCCCCCACCCTTCATATCAAGTCATTCCCCTCACCTGTCAATCTTGACCCCAAAACTGACTTTGAACCCTACCTCTCCTCCCCCACCCTCACCATCTTCTACACATGAATTCATTTGCACCAGTTTTGCATGCTTTAGGCCCATTTTCTTCAGTGTCACAGGCACCCTCTACCTTAAGATAAATAAATGCGTGTGTGCGTTCCTGCCTCCCTCTCATCTGCAGGCAATGTCCTTTCTCATTAACCATGGTGTTCGCTTATTCATAGGACTCCTCAGCCGAACCTGACCTCCATCTTCACCCTCCACCACCCCAAGCCCCTCACTGCGCCCCACCTTTAAAAGCACATTTTCTGAATCTATTGCCTTCTTGAAATGTCTGAGCTCAGCATGGCCAGTCACACTCCTGAGTTCCTTTCTGCCAGCCGCACCTTTCCCTCTGCCTGCTGACCTGTTCATCCTTGGAGTGAGTCCTGTGAGGGTGGCCCTGGCTCTGAGAAGGCCCTATTCCCGCGCCCCCGACCTTTGGCTTCTGTAAGAACAGTGTGCTTGCTTCTTAAGCTCCTTTCCCTCACCACCAACTTGCTAGGCTCCTCAGAACAGTCTCTTTTAATTCTCAGGAACTAACAAGTTGCCTCCAATGTCATTGCTATTGAATGAATAAAACCTTTATTTGGTCTAACTTGAATCTTGATATTTTAATCTTTTTTTCTGCTTCTATTCCGGTATAAAACCTATATTTAGTTCCTTTAATTATCTTTTTAAGCACAGTTTTTATTCTTAATGAGGTCACTATGCATACATGAGGGGGTGTCAAATCTTTTACATTTATGTTAAATTCTCATGTTTGACTTTCTTTCCCTAGTGGAAAAATTAATCAAATTTTATTAATTCAGCCTTTTTTTTTCTTTCAATGAACTTTTATCAGAAAAACAATTTGTGCTGGACACTGTGCAGAAAAATTGGGGTGCATAACTGATTGTAATACCATTAAATATAAAGACCGGCTGAGTCATTGCAGGGTGTTTTGCTAGTAAACAAGTCAATTAATGACCAAAATAGATTTCAGTCATTATTTTTCTCTCTCAAAGACCAATAAAGAGGAATGAAAGACATGGTCCCTAAATGTCTTAAAATTCTCTTCTATCCTGTTCTTTAGCACCATTTTCTTATCCCTAGAATCTCTTACTTACCAACCCAGAAACTAACCCACTAATTCACGCTCTCTCTTCCTCCCCTCCTCTCTCTCCTATGTATCCTTTCCTGACTGTCCGGCTTGCGGCCCCCTAGATCTGCGGACCCCTAGATCTGCTGCGCTAGCCTCCTGCTGCGTCTTCTCCACCTAAACAGTGTATTTCTTCTTTCTTCTGTTTATCTTCTGAGAATGAGTGCTCTCGGCCCCATTTTTCCTATTCCTATCTCCTTCCTTCTAACTTTATGGTTCTCTGTTCTCTATCAACTATCCCAGTTCTTCATCACAGAAGTCCAGAAACTGGTCAGAAAATGAAAGGACTATGTCCAAATGAAAGGGTGTGGTAAGGAGAAGTTATGGAGCTAAGTGAGCAAAACCACATGCTTTTTGTTTGTTTGTTTTATTTTAAGGAGAAGATGAAGTGTTTTGAACACACCTGTTAATTTTTGTCTCATCAGTGATTAAGATGTGGTCACCATCCCTTATACCCTACAGTATGATAGGGAACAGGAACATACTAAACCATCAACTCTCATATTATATGAAAAATGCTATGATAGAATTACGTGCAGGGCAATCTGAGGACACTTACAAAGGCCCCTGTTTTAACCCTAGTTTTGGAAGAAACAGGGAAAACAGTATCAGAAAATGATTACTGGTTGTGATGGATAATTTTAAAATGATCTATTTGTTTGGTCCTTACATGCAAATACGAGTTTGAAGCTAGAAGGGAAATTAGAAGATGGATTTAATAAGTACAGGACTCATCATAAAAACATATTGATCAGTGATTAGCATTTTTAGTTTGGATTCTGATGGTGAGGTTATTGGGAAGATGCCAACCTAGATGCATTATCGCTTGAACAGTATCCTTTGTAAATCTAAGAAACTTTTTTCTCTTTCTAGTGGAAGTCCCTGTGCCAGTTTGCCTTCTCACATGATTTTAAAGAAGATTGATTCCTAATACTACCATTTGATATGTCTTATAACTAGTAAAGCATAAGACCTCTTCTTTTGAAATTTTACACAAAGCATGAAAAAACACTAATACTGAAGGCAAACATGTAATGTTAGGGCTCTGTATATTTGAGTAAAAATGGCTACACTGATAATTTAAACAAAAATGAACAGACCTTTCAACTTGACCTTTGTGAATGTGAATTTGTAACTTAATATCTGACATTGTAGGGATATTAACATTAAAGTCATGATCTTAACTCATAAGAGTTAAAATAATTTGAAGGTGTTGAGTTCTAGCATTTTAGAGGAATCAGGGTTTCTACTGAAATTAGGTGTGCTCTTAATCCTTTCATAAAGCATAAAGAGAAGGCATATCCATCATGATCAACTATGCATTTCTTAGAAAATATAATAAACATAGACAAAGAGAAGGTTTCTCCATTACATTTTAAAGATTATATATATATATACACACACACACATATGACTCCTAGTGCATCAGAATGTTTTCAGGATTCTTTCATGCTGAGGAAATGCTCCTGCTCAAGTCCATGATTACAGATTTAGGATCAGGCTCATCACTTTCATACCAGCGTGAATTCAAATTGCTTATTAACAGGTGGGCGATACCTTTGGAGAAGTCAAATCATGTAAGAACATACATATGTTGCACTTGCTATGTCAGAGGCATTTTGTAATTAGCCTGAATTCATTTGCCAGACCCCTCCCTGAGTTAGCGAGGTAGGACACTGCTGAGACTCTTTGCACTCAGAAAATTGAAGTTAGAGAGATGAAATGGCTCTCAAATGACTCTTGTTTCATCTTGCCAGGCCTTTACTGAAGGCTAAACTCAGTGTAGGTATAAATTCTATAGGTAGTATTTGAGTCATTTGGTAGAAACATTCTTTTCTCTTACTGCATTTATGTATTTTTCTGGAATTATGGAGTGTGATTGTTATTTTTACTGAAAGGATTGCACTTGTCCTGATTCTTTATGTTACAATTTTATGCCCTACTCATTCTACTCCTATATTTCTCCTTTCCTAGAGAAATCACATTTTCACTGGACTGACTGGACCAAAAAGGCACGGCTGAATGAGGTAAGCCGTTTGGAGCATTGCCATTAACACCCACATAGTGTAAACCCCAATCCTGTGAGGAACCTAAAGTTAATTGATCTGGCTTTACAATGTGGTCAGGTCACACCCCGCTGCCCTCCTCGGTCAGTCCTCACAAGGACTGAGTTCTATAAAGCAAACAGTGCAGATGGGTAGAGCAATTACTAGTTTGGTCTGTTGGCCTCAAATTGGTCAGCTAATTTGGCAGTGGCTGCAGAAAATATATAAACAATTTCTTTAGACCAGCTGGGTATTGTCAAGTTAAGGAGATATTGTGCTAAAACATAGCTGCACTGGGATTATCACCCAGAATTTGTCCACTTGTCTGAGAAGAAGGAAACTTGGGAGGCTACAGTGTCTCAGGACACTTCCTACCCATTTGGGGGGACAGAAGGCAGAGCATCCTCTCAGTCTGCTGAGCAGACGGTGTCCAGAAACAACACATGCTTTGCAATAGAGCCTGAATCAAGGGAAGTAAGAATGGATCTAGCAGCACCAGAATAAAGTGGAGGTCCTTGAGTGCTGGCTTCTCTGGTAGAACCTAGATCCTGGGAAGAGCTTTAAGTTACTGATTTCTTGGCCTTATTGCCTCTGGTTTTAAAATTGATTTTCTAGCATAAACCAAATGACTTTTCTTGGAATCAACTGGAGAATACATAGGTAAACTCTTAAAAATATTTATGTCCATCCATCTGCTAATTCAGTTTAGGAAAACCTCTTTTAAGAAAACCATCAAACACAAGTACTAACATTTATATCAATTACTTTTATTGTTACACTNTGCTAATTCAGTTTAGGGAAACCTCTTTTAAGAAAACCATCAAACACAAGTACTAACATTTATATCAATTACTTTTATTGTTACACTATTTATAATAATGAAACACTAGTTAAAAAAAACACAATGGAGTATTATGTAGTTGTTAATATTATGATTTTGAAACATTTTTTTATCCCAGTAGAAAATGAGACAAGTGAAAAGCAGTATTCAAAATTATCTATACTGGGGCATGACCTCAATTTAAATATAGCAATTAGATCAGAAGAAAATGTGGCAATTGGTCGATTTTAGGATGCAGATGTATTCCCACTGTAACATCTCTGATATCAGCATGTGTCCTACAATTAATGGTACCTTCTAGGTAGGATTGGAAACATTTTTTTAGTGATACATAAAATAACTTTGCATCTCTGTATCAATGGCACCTTAGATTTGGGAAAAAATCAGCATGCTAACATAATAATGCGAAATTTCACTGAATGTATAACTGCACTTCTATGCACAATGAATATTTATTGTACATTTAAAAAGGAGACAATTTTGTCTCAATCACTGATGTAGAACATTCTCCATATCCTGACCCAGCAACATTTTTGTTTATCCCGGATTATTTACTCAACACCCCAAGCAAGTTTCTAGGGTCTATCTGGGGTGAAAGATTCATGTTGAACAAAATTAATTTTTTTATCAAATTTGTGTTTGGAAATCTGCAATACTTAGGTCTGTCTATAGATTTCTCTGCGTTCGAAATCAAGAGTCCCTCGCTCATCACAATTTACTCCGAGAGCCCTTTGTGTGTTTGTACCTTCCCGTTAGTTTCTTCTCAAATCCAAGTCCCTTTCTCCTGGCCCATTCAGTCTGCTTTCTCTACTACCTCATACTACTTTCAACTGACACACATAAGATATGCTAACCAGTGCTCGACATGAGCTGGGGGCTAAATGAGAAGGGTATGGCTTGGAATTCACAAAGTCTTAGTTTTAAAACATGCTTCTGCTCCTCAATGACTATGTGACCTTGGGAAAGTCACTAACCTCCCTGTAACCCAGTTTCCCCTTCTGTGAAATGGAGACAATAATACAAGTCTCATAGGGATAGTGCATGCATTTCATGAACTAATGTGTGTAAAGCAAGGAACACCTGATCATATGTCTAATAAAAGTTTATTTTTCTCACTCTTTTTTTATTGATGTGTGGTTTTTCCAAATAGACACTACCTTCTACACAGTCCTCCAAGAGGATCCTCATCAAGTCACACTTCACTTCACACTTCAACTCACACTTCAAGGCCAGAAGACACCCCTCCCCCCGATGTTCTTTGCTATGGAGGAAACCTTCCCAAGTACCCTTCTTCCACTTTCATGTAACAACTTCTTCAGAGGCTTGCAACTTCTGGCTTACACCCCACAATCCCCTTTTTTCAATTCTATTATTCTATAGAACCAAATTAACTCTCTGGAATTCTTGGCTGATTTCAGCTCTGTTGAATCACTATCTTCTCTTACAGATTCGTATAGGACTGAGTCAGGCGTACAGGGTAGAAAGGTGGACAGAAAACTGTGTGAACTTAGGGATAAGATCTTCTAGTAAGAAGCAGAGTCCCTGCATAAGTAAGATAACAAAAACAAATGGGTTTTCTTCTTTTTATTTTTTTAATTAATTTTATTGTAGTAGCATTGGTTAGTAACATCATATAACTTTCAGGTGTACAACTTTATAATACAAAATCCGTCTGCTCCATTGTGGACTAACCACCCAAGTCTAGTCTCCTTCCTTCACCATATACTTGACCCCCTTTACCCTCTCCATCCACCCCTAACCCCTTCCCCTCCGGCAACCACCATGCTGTGGTCTGTATGTATGAGTCTGTTTTATTTGTTCATTTGTCGCTTTTTGTTTTATATCCCACATATGAGTAAAATCATATGATTCGTGCCCTTTTCTCTCTGATGTATTTCACTTATCATAATACTGTCAAAGTCCATCCATGTTGTCACAAGTGGTAATATTTCAACCTTTGTTTTTTATGGCTGAGCAGTTTGACCCAGGATTGGATGCAGAAGCTATGGTACATGCACATAGTGGAATACTACTCAGCCATAAAAAGCAGGCTCTAAGTGGGCAGTGGAGGTCTGGGAGCTCCTCATGATTACAACTGCCACTTTTCTATATCGCTTTTCAAGATCATTGGTAATGACGCCAGTTGTTATCTCTCTGAGACCTTACCCACTGACCCTAACTCCCTAGCCTTTCAGGTCTCCAGCTTTTGTAAGATCTCAGCCTTCTAATCACCAGTCTTCTTTTCTGCCGGTGTTCACCTTATCTCATGTTCCTTCTTTTCTATGTTGGCTTTAATGGTTTACATTGTAACTCTGCTTTTCCTCTTCCAAACCAATGTGATTCAATTCTATATTTCCTTATAATTTGCTCAAATGATATTCCTTATATTCAGCCTCTAAAATTTTTCAATTTGACCTTCAGATCTCCTTACTATGAAATTAGGCCTTATTTTATCCATTCGTCCTCTAAACTATGCCTTCAATCTCCTATTGAACTTGGGTGAAAACTTGCTAGCTTGGGAATCAGGACAGCACAGCTCTTCCTCCCTCCAGAAGGAAGTGGACAACTCAAATTATGTTGACTATTTGAAAAATTAAATCCCAATATTCCAAGTTACATCTATCCAGGAAGGCTACATGGTCTTACACAGGAAATTCTGTGGTGCTGTCCCACAGGTTATTCCATTTTCAAATCAAGCTCTTCCCTGTCAAAAGGGTTTATAACTCTGCCGTTACTGAAAAATGCTGATGCCATAGGGTGAACCAAACCACATAAAAAGTATCACAAAGGATTTTACAATAATGAAGGGTTAACAGTCTGGAAAAAAAAAAAAAAACAGAAAAAAAATACAAATTTAAAAATAAGGTCCTTTAGTGAAAAGCAGACATCCTAGGATAGATAAGAGGGGCAAAAAAAAGTGAGGTACAAAGGAATGGAATGTCATTTCTCCACAGAATAGATTTACTCCCACACCACAGATGGTTCAGGATTATCACTAAATTCTTTAATGAGAAGGGATTGGAATTTAGTAACAAAGCCCATTGGATAATTTTCAAAGTAACCTCATGTCTTACCGATAGCCTGTTCTAGAGAGCCAACATTCTTTAAGTGAAGACAAGCCAAAAAAAAAAAAAAAAAAAAAAAA